CTATAGCTATCATTATAGTTATCGTTAGCGCTATAGCTATCATTAATATCTATTGTTAGCACTATAGTTATCATTATGTTATATGGCTATAGTTATAGTAATTGCTAAAGTTATTGCTATTTTTATAGTTATCGCTAGCTGAGTTGTCGCTAGTACCATAGTTATCATTATAGTTAGTTTTCGCTAGAATTATCATTATGGTTATTGTTATAATTTTTGCTATTTTTATAGTTATCATTAGTTAATGTTGTAGTTATCATTATAGTTATCACTAATTAACGTTATAGTTTTCATTATCGTTATCACTAGAGTAATTGGTATAGTTATCGCTATAGTTATCGTTAGCACTATAGCTATCATTATAGTTATCGTTAGCACTATAGCTATCATTATAGTTATCGTTAGCACTATAGCTATCATTATAGTTATCGTTAGCACTATAGCTATCATTATAGTTATCGTTAACACTATAGCTATCATTATAGTTATCGTTAGCACTATAGCTATCATTATAGTTATCACTAATTAACGTTATAGTTTTCATTATCGTTATCACTAGAGTAATTGGTATAGTTATTGCTATAGTTATCGTTAGGACTATAGCTATCATTATAGTTACTGTTAGCACTATAGCTATCATTATAGTTATCGTTAACACTATAGCTATCATTAATATTTATTATTAGCACTATAGCTATCATTATAGTTATCGTTAGCACTATAGCTATCATTAATATGTATTGTTAGCACTATAGTTATCATTATTGTTATATGGCTATAGTTAAAGTTATTGCTAAAGTTATTGCTATTTTTATAGTTATCATTAAAGTTATCGCTAGCACCAAAGTTATAAATATAGTTTGTTTTCGCTAGAATTATCATTATGGTTATCGTTATAATTTTTGCTATTTTATAGCTATCATTAGTTAATGTTGTAGTTATCATTATAGTTATCATTAGAGTAATTGCTATAGTTATCGTTAGCACTATAGCTATCATTATAGTTATCGTTAGCGCTATAGTTATCATTATAGTTATCGTTAGCACTATAGTTATCATTATAGTTATCGTTAGCACTATAGTTATCATTATAGTTATCATTAGCACTATAGCTATCATTATAGTTGCCGCTATACATAACATTGCTATAGTTTTCGTTATTTTTAGGGGCTATAGTTTTTAATTGCTATAGTTATTGCAATCATTTTCGCTATTTTTATAGCTATCACTAATTAACGTTATAGTTTTCATTATAGTTATCACTAGAGTAAGTAACGCCATAGTTATCATTAGAGTAATCGCTAGTTATCAGTTATCATAATCGCTATAGTTATCGTTATCATTATAGTTATTAGTTAACGTTATAGTTGTCACTACAGTTATCATTATTCCTATAGTTATCGTTCTTTGGTATAGTTAGGTTATTGCTATAGTATTGTTAGTTATCGTTATCAGAGTAATTGCTATAGTTATCATTCTTTGGTATAGTTAGGTTATTGCTATAGTATTGTTAGTTATCATTATCAGAGTAATCGCTATAGTTATCGTTCTTTGGTATAGTTAGGTTATTGCTATAGTATTGTTAGTTATCAGAGTAATCGCTATAGTTATCGTTATCATTATAGCTATCACTATAATTATCGTTACAGTATCATTACAGCTCTCATTACAGTTGTTGTTTTTTACTGTTAGAGGCTGCTCTAAATCATAATAAAGCTCAGAAGTGTTTTGTCCGCTTTTGAGAACCACACAGAATTGCGAATGACTCATGAAGCGCGTCTGATACCTGCTGGAACTGAATCTGGAGTTTCTGGCTTTGCTCCGTCAGCTCCAGGAACTCCCTCATCACCTCCTCCTTCTCGGTCCGCGCCTGCTGCAGATTGGCGGTGAGCTGCGTGATGATTTCATCCCTCTGTTTCAGCGCCTCCTCGAAGTCCTGCAGCTGCGGACACAAAGCCACACCACACACGTCCAGTAGCCCCAAAATGCAGCCCCAATTCTATTAGTTTATAAAACAGCTAATCTTATATCAGCACAAATTTGGGATTTAATTCGCTGTATTTCATTAATGGACAAACACAAGCGGCTGATTTTACATTAAAATCACAACCATTTTTGTTGTTGTTGTTGTTTAAGGAGATGAGCTGTACGTCGCCCAATGCATCAAATGCATTATTTGGTACAAAGTGCAAAAAAAATTTCATGGCAAACTTATGTTTCTTTGTTTACCTCTTAATAAAATATTTGGGCCTATATATTGTTTCTGTTATAGTTTTTAAATGTTCATATTTTATAGTTAATAAGTGTCCACGTGACATCAGGTATTAAAAATCCAATGATTTACGTATCCACCTCCTCATTGTGTGTGCATGTGTTGTAATCTGTGTATGTACGGGATGAAATTAGTTTAAGTTATTAACACTTATTGTAGCCACACAGCCCTAACTGCATAACCATATCAAATATAAAATCACTTGGAGCTGTAAATCTGTGCAGTACGTGAGGACTTTCAGATTTTAAGAAGGTGAGTAAAAGAGACCTTCACTGAGATTAATATTTTTTTATCTATTAAGTACTGACTATAACTACTAAAAATCTAAAAGGGGTATTCAGTAAATAGTGTTCTGTGTGCGCAGGCACTGCCGTTCTCAGTACCTTCAAAATAAAAGTCAGGACTCAAACACATCGGCCAAACAGAAAAGCATATCGGCTGATGCCGATATTTGGAAAAATGCCAAATACCGGCCGATATATCGGCAGACCACTAGCGTAGATCATTCATAAAAGCGTACATATACGAATGCGCATGCTCATGCCTCAAGCATCTAAGCCAATAAGCTGTGCTGTATTATAAACCAATGAAACTGACTGCACTCTGGAGTACTTGCACACGACAGCAAGCCTGGAAAACTCTTGATTACTGGGATTTCAGTCTGTTACGAAACATAATTGAACAACCTCCTCAAGTCCCAAACAGCAGGGGACCGCATATATTTCAATGGAACACTTTACCTGCAGTTTTACAAGTACGTGAGGACTTTCAGATTTTAAGAAGGTGAGTAAAAGAGACCTTCACTGAGATTAATATTTTTTTATCTATTAAGTACTGACTATAACTACTAAAAATCTAAAAGGGGTATTCAGTAAATAGTGTTCTGTGTGCACAGGCGCTGCCGTTCTCAGTACCTTCAAAATAAAAGTCAGGACTCAAACACATCGGCCAAACAGAAAAGCATATCGGCTGATGCCGATATTTGGGAAAATGCCAAATACCGGCCGATATATCGGCAGACCACTAGCGTAGATCATTCATAAAAGCGTACATATACGAATGTGCATGCTCATGCCTCAAGCATCTAAGCCAATAAGCTGTGCTGTATTATAAACCAATGAAACTGACTGCACTCTGGAGTACTTGCACACGACAGCAAGCCTGGAAAACTCTTGATTACTGGGATTTCAGTCTGTTACGAAACATAATTGAACAACCTCCTCAAGTCCCAAACAGCAGGGGACCGCATATATTTCAATGGAACACTTTACCTGCAGTTTTACATGACAGAAAGTGACTTTCCTGGCAGCCAAAATGAGTCAATGTCAAGAAGAAAGAGCGTTTTCAAAGCGGAATCACACGGAGACGTTACGTGAACAGCTATGAGATCTGCTCGGTCTAATCACAGTGAGGTTATATCAGTGTCACGCGTGGGCATCCAGCCATCCATCCATCACCCACTCATCCAGCGTGACTCACGAGTCCTTAACGAAAGCAGCGCAGGTCTGAGGACACGTACCTGCTGCACTCCTTCAGCTCCAAACACGCCCCTGATCTCCTCGAGCTCGCGGCTCAGCTCCTCCATGGCCATGCTCTTAGCGGCTAACTCATCCTCCATGATCTGAATGCGGCTCTGAGGGCCGCCGCTCTGTAGGTCAGGCTCCATGTGTGCTTCAGTCCGCTGCAGATCTTCCTCCTGCCGGCGAGACCGGGACAGAGTAAGAGCCAGAGATTCTGGAGCGCTCATTATAAAGCCCTTTCCACAGAACCAGTGCCGGTGTTGGAGCTTGGTCAGGAGAATCCGAGATCTTTCTACTGAATCCCAGGGTTATTATCCTTCACTAAAAAATTTTTTTAATTTAAAAATGTTTTTTTTCATTGTTACTTGGGAAAAAATTTATCAAATTAAATTTTTTAATAATTATTAATATTTTAATTAATTATGAAATTAATTAAATGCTTAATATTTTAATTATTAAATTAATTAAATGCTTCATATTTCAATTAATATTTAAAATATTAATATAAAATGTATAATAAATTATAGTAATTATAATAAAAAATAAACTTATTTTAAGCTAGTTGCCAAAGCAACATTTCTCGTTTTTATTTAGTTTAACTTGATGTGCTAAAATAACTAATAAAAATCTATACAGACATTAAAAAAAAACGAATAAAACAACAAAATCACTAAAACTTTAACTAAAATAAAAATTTAATAGAAAAATAAAAAATAATAAAAAATATTAATATTAAATAGTATCTCAGTGATACCAAAATAGCGGCTGAGTGATGCTATAATGCTGGTTTAATTCCTATATTTGAGAATTTAATAAAAACAAAATCAGCAAACTGCATTTTAATATAATGGCAAAAGTTGTTTTAAATTGTGTTTTACTAAAACTGATAAAACAACAAATAACTAGAACTTTACCTAAAATGAACTAAAAAAAACAGAACAGAAATAAAATGAAATTTTATAAAGAATAAAAGTATAAAGTAAATATTTTATTTTAGCTAGTTTAACTTGATGTACTAAAATAACTCAAACTTAATAGAAAATAAACTTATTTTAAGCTATAAAATTTGTATAGATATATATATATTTTTTTAAAAGGATAAAATTAAACTTCTTTTTTTAACTTTAGCTCAAATTAAAATGAAAGTGTAAAATAGAAAAAAACACGTTAGCAGAAAAAAATTAATATAAAAAAGCAAACATTTTATTTTCATTAGTTGAACTTGATGTACTTAGAGATATATTAATAAAATCTACATAAATTTAAAATTATATAAAAAACTGATAAAACAACAAAATCATTAAAACTAATTTTTAAGAATTAATATTATAAAAAATTATAACTATTTCAATTATATTAAAATAACCGCTAAATCCTGACTATGATGCTAGTTTTATTCTTATGTTTGAATATTTAATCTTTATGCAAAAGCACTTTTTTTTTTTTTTTGCAGAAATTAAATGCATTAATTTATAGACAATTTAGCATCAACACTGGTACTGTATCGGTAGAAAAAGGTTGAAATCTCTTATCTAATCGTTTTGCTTTCTGTCGATGGTTTTAGTTCCTGTAAAAGCTAAACGGCTCTCTTATATAAGCAGTTTATACGGCCTTTACACGCTCCCCTCCACCAATATAATATACGGCCGACAAAATGCCAAGCAGCCCTGCTTTCCCCACTCATGTGGTGAACTGAGTGAGCGCGGTTAAAATGCCACAGCTCCGCATTAGCATATTCACAAGCAGCTGAGCCTCGGAGATGAAGGTACAGCAGAAGGAAATGTGAGGTTAGTGCATCAGAAGAAGCAGGAGTGATTACTGCGTTATCATTACTGTACCCCGATCACAGAGGACGCCAGATCACTCTCTGTCCTCTCGTGGAAACCATTTACCTGTCAGTTCATGAGAGAGTGCTTTTAGGAGAACATCTGCACAAACACAATGCACAAAATACACAGAGTCCTGCATATAACGTGGTCAGTTTCACTAAAACATGAAATGTATTTTGCACTAAGAAAATAGACACCTTTTTGTAGGACCATTATGATTTTTTGACATTATTTCCATGACTATTAATCATATTTACCCTCCAAATTCTGTAATATGTGAAGATTGTTCATTTTTTTATTACGATTAAGATTCTCACTATTCTAAAAGTAATTTTTCCTGCCTTGTAAAAAGTAATTTTTTTTTTTATAATTTAATATATTTTATTTAACTTTTATTTTATCCTATACCTCTTTCTACTATACTTATACTGATTTTATATATACTTATTTTATTCTTTACCAATTTATATTTTTTTTAATGAATGCCAGTACAACAAATACAATTATGTTGAGGTGAAATGTTGAACTATTTAAACTAAATGCTTAATACTTTAAATATGTTATTAATATGAATATCATAATCCAACAAATCCTAATACACAAATATAAAATTGTACTGAAAACTGGAGAAAAAGTGCTTAATGAAATTAAGTAAATAAATAGTTTTTGTATTGAGAATTGTAGGAGAAAATGTGCTTAATGATAAATACATAATAAATAAATATATATTTTTTATTTTTTATTTTGGGAATTTAAGGAGAAAATGTGCTTAATGATAAATACATAAATAAATAAATATATATATTTTTTTTATTATTTGGGGAATTTAAGGAGAAAATGTGCTTAATGATAAATACATAAATAAATAAATATTTTTTAAATTTGGGAATTGAAGGAGAAAATGTGCTTAATGATAAATACATAAATAAATAAATATATATATTTTATTTTTTTAATTTGAGAATTGAAGGAGAAAATGTGCTTAATGATAAATACATAAATAAATATTTTTTTAAATTTGGGAATTGAAGGAGAAAATGTGCTTAATGATAAATATATAAATAAATAAATATTTTTTCTGAAAACTGGAGAAAAAGTGCTTAATGAAATTAAGTAAATAAATAGTTTTTGTATTGAGAATTGTAGGAGAAAATGTGCTTAATGATAAATACATAATAAATAAATATATATTTTTTATTTTTTATTTTGGGAATTTAAGGAGAAAATGTGCTTAATGATAAATATATAAATAAATAAATTTTTATTTTTTTAATTTGAGAATTGAAGGAGAAAATGTGCTTAATGATAAATACATAAATATTTTTATATTTTTTTTTTTTAAATTTGAGAATTGAAGGAGAAAATGTGCTTAATGATAAATACATAAATATATATTTATTTTTTTATTTTTTTTATTTTGGGAATTGTAGGAGAAAATGTGCTTAATGATAAATACATAAATATATATATTTTTTAATTTGGGAATTGAAGGAGAAATTTTTTTGATTGTGATTATTAATTACGATTATCACAATTTACATTGAATGATGTTTAAACCAAATTAAGTAAATATATAAATAAATAGTTTTTGTATTGAGAATTGTAGGAGAAAATGTGCTTAATGATAAATACATAAATAAATAAATATATATATTTTTTTTATTATTTGGGGAATTTAAGGAGAAAATGTGCTTAATGATAAATACATAAATAAATAAATATTTTTTAAATTTGGGAATTGAAGGAGAAAATGTGCTTAATGATAAATATATAAATAAATAAATATTTTTTTTTTACATTTGAGAATTGAAGGAGAAAATGTGCTTAATGATAAATACATAAATATATATATATTTTAATTTTGGGAATTGAAGGAGAAAATGTGCTTAATGATAAAAATATAAATAAATAAATATCTATTTTTTTAAATTTGGGAATTGAAGGAGAAAATTTTTTGATTGTGATTATTAATTACGATTATCACAGTTTACATTGAATGATGTTTAAACCATTGTTTGATGGTATTTTTACATGAAAACAAGCTGAAAACACTAACTGAAAAGCTTTTCTATAGTATTAAGCCTCAAATATCAAATATACATCGGATTGGTTTCTTCTTTAGAATTGAAGGAGAAAATGTGCTTAATGATAAATATATAAATAAATAAATATTTTTTTTTTACATTTGAGAATTGAAGGAGAAAATGTGCTTAATGATAAATACATAAATATATATATTTTTTAATTTGGGAATTGAAGGAGAAATTTTTTTGATTGTGATTATTAATTACGATTATCACAATTTACATTGAATGATGTTTAAACCATTGTTTGATGGTATTTTTACATGAAAACAAGCTGAAAACACTAACTGAAAAGCTTTTCTATAGTATTAAGCCTCAAATATCAAATATACATCGGATTGGTTTCTTCTTTAAATTATAAAAAAGTAAAAATATGAATGGTATTACAATGTTATACTAAAACTAAAATTAAAATAATGGAGAAAAACCCTTAAGATAACATGTAGAAAGAAAAAAACGCATCTTAAGCGCGCAGAATAACATAAGTGGACTTTGAACGATTACGTAATTGTGGCATCCGTAATTGTAATCGCGCTTTTGTAAGATTTCACTGCCTAGCAACCAGCAGGTCACATGGTGCATTGAGCATGAGAGCTGGAGAGGACCAAGCGCTGAAGGTTTCCGGATTTCTCTTTTGTGCTGCATCATAAAGCGCTCACAAGCACGAGTCATTAACAAACCCAAACTCTGGCCTGAGAATAAACACACAAACCCTCGCTTCATAAAACACATTCGCTGAGGAACAGACGTCGAATGGATTTTTCATTTATTCTACATTATTTTTTACATTAAAGTCAATACAAACAACTGCAATCAATATTAAAATACAAATATAACAAACATGTAATTATTAGAATAAATAAACACATATATAGTCTTTGCATAGATTATCGGAAGAGAAAATGTGCTTAAAGAAAATAAATCAATAAATAAACACATATATAGAAAATGTGCTTAGTGAAAATAATGTATTTAATGAACTTAATGAAAGTAAAATCCATTATTAAATATACAAATAAATAGTTTTTGCATTTATATTTGAAGGGGAAATATGCTTAATGAGTGTAAATAAATAAAAATAGTTTCTGTATTGATAATTGGAGGAGAAAATGTGCTTAATGAAAATAAATTAATAAAGAAATAATTGTGTATTGATAATTGGAAGAGAAATGTGCTTAATTAAAATGAATAAATAGTATGAATGGTATTACAATGTTATACTAAAACTAAAATTAAAATAATGGAGAAAAACCCTTAAGATAACATGTAGAAAGAAAAAAACGCATCTTAAGCGCGCAGAATAACATAAGTGGACTTTGAACGATTACGTAATTGTGGCATCCGTAATTGTAATCGCGCTTTTGTAAGATTTCACTGCCTAGCAACCAGCAGGTCACATGGTGCATTGAGCATGAGAGCTGGAGAGGACCAAGCGCTGAAGGTTTCCGGATTTCTCTTTTGTGCTGCATCATAAAGCGCTCACAAGCACGAGTCATTAACAAACCCAAACTCTGGCCTGAGAATAAACACACAAACCCTCGCTTCATAAAACACATTGATTAAAGTCAATACAAACAACTGCAATCAATATTAAAATACAAATATAACAAACATGTAATTATTAGAATAAATAAACACATATATAGTCTTTGGATAGATTATCGGAAGAGAAAATGTGCTTAAAGAAAATAAATCAATAAAGATAAATAACTAGTTTTTGTCTTGATAATTGGAGGAGAAATGTGCTTAATTTAAATAAATAAATAAAGATAGATAAATAAATAGTTTTTGTCTTGATAATTGTAGGAGGAAATGTGCTTAATTTAAATAAATAAATAAAGATAGATAAATAAATAGTTTTTGTCTTGATAATTGTAGGAGGAAATGTGCTTAATTTAAATAAATAAATAAAGATAGATAAATAAATAGTTTTTGTCTTGATAATT